GTCGGTTTTCGATCGGGAATATACAATGGTAAGGGGCGCTCACCGATCGTTCATACGGAACTCACTCGTTCCGTTGTGCCTTATGGACTCTCTCTCGAGCCCAACCAGCAGCCGCACAGCGGCGCATGATATATAGACAGAATTGTATTACCGACAAAGACAAGGGAGACTTGAATGGCCAGAGTGAGTTCCGTATGAACGATCGGTCAGCGCCCCCTACCACAATACATTAATTTCCACAGTTTTGTTCCCATCAACAGCAAACGAAATCTAGTCTAGGGATTGGCAGCTAGAGTGAGGCGCATCTGCTCACCTGAAGCTATTGAAGCAGAGCTCCAACAGCCGCGGAACACACTTCGCGATAACGGATACCCAGATAGATTTATCATCCGAAATATTGGAAAACGCATTGCAAAGCCCACTGTTGCGACTGTAAAAAAGAAAGATGTATTCATTAGACTGCCTTTTGCAGAGGACGCAGCGAACGAACTAGTCACACGGCGCTTAACTACAGCTATCACGATAGCATTCCCCGCGACGAATTTACGCCTATGTTTTACAAACCCTCCCGTCCTACGTTTGGCCACATCAATGTGTATTATGACGCACTTTGATGCGTAACCCACCAAGGCCGCCGGCATTGCTGCATCCGACCCGCATTTCACAGTGACCTCTGTCTTCCCCGCCCTCGTTGACCGCGGAGATAATTGGCGGCCCCGATTTTTCCGCGCCGTGACTGTCTCCTGTCAAGAAGGCTTGTAAAACCAGATAGGGGGGATGGGGGACAAATTAGCGTGGGGTTGACAAAACAGTCAGTGGACGTCCAGGCATCATTCACTTGCCTCGATGTATGATCATTGCCCCGTCCCACAATCTTAACGGCGTTAAAATTGAAGATGTGTCCCATTTGCTCGGCATGGCTCGACTTTGGGTCCGACATTCGCACGGCCAACTGGTGCTCGTGTGTTCACGTTTGCAGTCGTCGGCCAGTTTGCCTTCGTAGTTGCATATTCTACAGCAGTACTGAAGTCGGTGTACAACGGCCGACGTTTCCTGTTTACAGAAAGGGTTTTTTGACCTCATCACTTGCCGGCGGATTATTGAGTTAGGCCTGTGAACAACTTCTGTTCCGAATGGCGCGAAGTATCTAGCCGCGGCTTTGAAGACTTCCTAAATAAACGAAGTGCTCTGCCACGATTTTGGCTGACTATACTCTTCATTCCGCTTCCTTTGCTTCAATCGGTCCCGTTCAACGAATTCTCTGGAATAGCCGTTGGCTCTGAGGAGTTTTGGAAACACAACGCAGTCTGTCTGCAGTATGTGGGGTCTCTGAATCCCTTTTCCTCTAGGAGTTCGCTATAGCCCCATTAGGTCGCGAATGACTGTGTTGGTGCAGGGGCAGTGAGTTGTGCGTGAATTAGTTTATAGTGATAGTAGGCTTTCGCAGCGTCTACTTCGCTTTGTCCACTCTCACCAAGCTGAATAAATGCGCCAAAGTTCCGTGGGGATGCAAGCCCCAGAGTCGACCTCACTCTCGCCTCCCTCTCTCGTACATCGGTAGATTGTCCCGTCCGGTCAGCAATATGATGCGGGGAGTGAGTGAAAATGGCTGGCATGACATGAGACTGCGCCTGGGCGTGCCACAACATTCGCCCCCCCATGTGGGACACTTTTTGTGGGCGCTCATCTCAATCACCGGCCACCGTACCCTGGTCTGGCCCTCGTGTTGGTCGAGCGCAGCTCCCTCGTGGTCCGTTGAAGGACACATTATGCGTCACAGGTAGCACGTTTTAGCAGTATCTGCGGTTTTATTCTGCCTACTTAGGAAAATTTCCAACTAGTTACGATTTACAGTAGGTGGGCTAACTCATGACATGGCAGCCAGAATTTTGAAATGCCTTCTCGTTTCGAAGAGATTAATTAAGTAGGGTTGTAAAACTAATCATCATGCAGCATAATTCTATAATGATCCAATTACCTCAAAGTGCCGGCTTTCGAATGAACTTCTTTTCGACTGCATGCAAGAAAATCACGACATCTTCCAACTTTATACTCGAAGGAAGGGTATAAGTCGGTTTTGAAAAACTTTTCCAATTCCTGAATAATTTTGAACACGACCTGCTGTTATACTTGCGTTCAGGGTTTCCAAACTACAAGCCGTACATTTTCAGCGTACGGGAAGCAATACATTTCACATGCGGTACTAAAAGGAGACTATATGGGGTTATACAATTTGGCAGTGGATATGAGCTATATTGTTAACTTTACAAGCCACATTGGTGAATGCAGAGACATGGCGTTTTATGAACGGCCATTTCATGGTATAAAACAGTTCACAATTAGAAACTTTTTTGAAACCGAGTTATACCCCTCCTTTATGCTTGAAGGAAGGGTATAGTTCGGTTTTAAAAAAGTTTTTATTATAATATTTTCTAAGACCGTGAGATTCCTGTTCATAAAACATCCCGTTTCTGCAATTAATAAGATTGCTTGTTAAGTTTACAATATGGCTTAAATCCACTGCAAAACTTTATGAATCCCATACGGTTTCCTTTTAATAGCGTATAAGAATGTATGGTTTTCCTTTCAAGCAAAGCATACAGCTTGTAGTTCGAAATCCTGAATGTAAGTGTAACGAAAGTTCGGGGTTCAAAATTATTCGGGAATCGGAAACGTTTTGAAACCGAATTATACCATTAGTTCAAACAGAAAATTTGGAGACTATGTAGTTGTCTACCATATTAGTAAAAGAACGAATATTTTTATGCAGGATTTCTAAGAAATATTTATAAGGGCATCGAAAACCAAGGAAAAAAATCATTTTTTACAGAGTGCAGTTTTTGCAGGCGACCGAAAAGAAGTTCATTCGACAGCCGGCATCCTGAACTAACAGAAGTATCCTGGGATTATGCTGTACGATGATTAATATTAGAAACCTACTTAAGTAATATTTTCGAGTCGAAGATAAATTTCACAATTTCGGTAAACATTTCACGAGTTGACTCATCTACTGTAAGCACAGACATGGACGCACACGGATCTGTTGGTTGCCCAAAGCGACCACCTGCCAGACCGAACTCGAGGAAGCGGGTAGATTGATACTGAAGTATTTCGGGCTTGTGCGGCCTCAATTCAGCCGAAAATACCCCTAAAAACCATCATCTGGGGAGCAGAAACGCGGACATACAAAGGCGCACGGCGCAGCTGGTTCATAGGTCAGATCCATCGGTCATAAGCCCTTCACAGAACCAAATTTCATCACTGTCTCTCCGCCTGTTGTAGGTCGCGAAAAAAGTTTTCAGACGAATCATATATAAAGTATTTTGAAAATCTTGGTCACATGCATTTTCTGACAACACTGGATGATATATTATTAAGTAACTTAGGAAGGCCAACTCATTGGCCTAGAATTTAGGAGTGGGCACACGAAGTACGGTAACGCAGTAGTGTATAGTTGTCCAAGATTCTTATTTGTTGCATGCGGTGCGATGGGTCATTTTATTTAGAAAACACAATGTCGATGAACGAACAAAATCAATATGTGAGGGGCGATATTCGTCAGTGATTACTATTTAAAAAATCAGTAGGCCACGTGAATAAGTACTCCCCGTACTGCACGCGGCCTCGCGCTACATCCCACGGGGTTGGGATTAGGATCTGTGTCGAGGTTAATACATAGGGTTAAGTCTCGGGTTATAATTGCAGGCCACGCGATAGATCCGCTGGACCAGCACGGTGTCTAGATCGAGGTCCGGCAGGCGTTATTGGGAATCCGAGCCCTCTACAATGGGGGTTAGCTGGCACGCCCAGACGCAGGTTTACGCCGCGCCAACTGGCATCCGAATCGTCCTCTCTTTTCTGGCTATGTTAAATTCTGGTCAGTTTACCCCTATGCACACCAGGGCTGTGGTAGGACGCCTAGGTTCATGCTCACGTCGCGCCAGCCATCTGCGTCCGATCTCGCCTCCGGCCTTCTTGACCTGGTCATGACATTGGGCTCAGGTTAGTGAGAACTAGAAAATGTGGTAGATGCAGCGAATGTCTACTATCCGCATAAACTAGCTCACACGCAAGTCACCATCCCTGCGTCCACCCTACGGTGGGGCATACGGTGTCATCGTCGGGATCGACGGTCAACCTGCCGTAAGCGGTCGGGTTATGATTTGGAGAATTATGATTAGGCATGTGGCTGGGATCAGGAGGGTTAGTGTTAGGGTCAAAGTCAGGACACGGGAATAGGCACCCTGTCTGAAATTTGATCCGAGGCCACCAATTAAAGAATCCAATTATATTATTTGTATATTCGATCGTTAGATGTCCACACGTACTAAAAGGCAAGTCATTAATACACCAGGATTAGCGTCATGAGAGGTTTGTCTCCTAAAACTTGATATATGCATTTCCTTGAAAGTGTTGGTCACAGAGACTACCTACCTACAAGATGATACTTTATCTTTTGTCACCAGTCACTGATTAGGGCAGAAATATCACTTTTTATAGGATGCGGTGTTGTCTCACAACTCTACAGAAGTTCTGATTTAACTTTGAGACCTTTTCGTCGACAAATGGATGTGTCAAAAAAGAACTGTAACATGTCCACCGTGAACTAACCCCACTTTAATTTTATCTCCGCGGCTTGCTAAGGCATACAGTGCGATTTCGAGAGCAAGCAAACCTTACCGTTGGCGGCGGAAATGAACTGTAGTGTTGCCAAACTTTAAGGAACCTGTACAGATATTTGTGATTAACACCTCGAACAGACGTGCCCCTGCGTCATTGTGAGTTACAAGAACTGAAAACGTGCATGCGTTTCTGAAACTGTATAAGTCACGCTCCTGGTCAGATATTTTAGCAAGTTGGACAAGCGGGTCTGACATGGGGGATAACACACATAAGGGCAGCATTTCACAATGCAGTACCTATTATTGTTAGTTTTATTATTACCCTGTGCTTTAGGGTGCATATTGTGACGAACAGAATCTGATGGCACAATTTCAACCAAGACTCCTCGTGTTTGTGAAGACCAGTCCATGACAATTGAGCGAAGGGTGTTCAGTGTTAAAGTTTCTTGAAGCACACTCCTATTAGATTAACAGCCTATTAACTCCATGACTTATATTTCATCAACATCCCGTTGAACAATGAAATAGGCAAGGCGTTGCCAAAGTCTCCACTGTTTTTTTTTTAACACTAGGCCAGATTGGCAGTTTAAATCCGTGCTCGTCTCCGAAATCGGACCCCAAAATAGGCTCTTACCTAATTGAGGTCTTATTTTATCATACTAACTTTCGATTAGAAGACGAGGTGGCGAGCATATGTAGTTTCCGATAAATTCTCCTCGGGGCAGTACAATTAAATGGGAATGGGGTAGAAGCAAAAAACGTGTCAGCGATAAGAGAAATCGATTAAAGTTCGTCTTAAAACACGGACGGGGTGTGGTAATGTGGGGGAGGGGGTGGAGGGGGGGGTAATAGCAGTCAGTGTCAGGGGCGGGGTGAGAGCGGAGGGGCGCGGAGAAGTGGATGTAGTTTGCTGACTTTTGACCACGGTAGCCATGCCGGGAGGCTAGGGAAAGACGAAACTAGGAGCATAAGCAGCGCCATTCTCGCGCATGTTGTAGATTCTGGACATCGTGTGGACCCCAGCGAAGCTTTTCGTACGGTTTGTAAGGTCCCATCGAGCTACCCTTAGCTATTGGCCCAGCGCCTGCTAGCAACAGCAAAAGCGGCCGCGATCAGGTTACGAAGACCAGTCTTGTGTGCACAGAAGAACCACCTACAGTAGTCGAAGGTCGACTAACGCTGCAACTCTTCCCGCGCCCTTCCGCTCCCATCCCGTCCCCGCCACTGACGTCCCTCCCTTACGTCCCTACACCTCGCCCGTGTTTTAAGACGAGGCTTGATCTATTTCTCTTATAACTGACACGTTTTTGCTTCTACCCCTTTCCCATATATTTGCATTGGCCCGAGGGGAATTTATCGAAAGTTACGTATGCTCGCCACCTCGTCTTCTGGTTACTGCTATGGGAATGTTCGCAGCTCTAAAACTTTCGATTAGCTGCTATTGGTGTAAATGCTTCCACTTTTATACTCCCACTACTGTTAGTTGTTTGATCTATAGTTCGGTGCGTCCAGGGCACCAGAAATGCTGTCGAATTTAAATCTACCCCTATACACGTTAATTATTTCTGATATGTGTACGAATGTCTTTTAGAACTTTTGAACAAATTTTTCGGAAACAGAACTTGTTACGATTTGCGAGCAAAACTACTTTCTCCCTTTGCTTCGCTTTAAGGTCGCACTCAAACGGAAAGAGCTTACTATGAGGAGATGCGAAACCAGTGCACAAGAGCCATAGAAATGTCCGCAAACTACTTGGAGGGCGTATCAAAGCATCGAGTTTTCCCGCGGATTGAACCGGGCTACCTGCGTCCTCTCCTGCCGCAAGATGCTCCCAGTGAACCGGAACCCTGGGATCGGATATTCAGCGATGTCGATAAACTTTTAATGCCTGGGGTGCGTTTTTTGTCAAGCGCTCATTTGCTGTTGCCTAGTTCGTACAGTTGTAAAACCTGCTTGTTTATAACACATAAAGTATCATTGAAGAAAGAAGAGGGGTCGAGCACCGGAACATTTTGTTTATTATCCTGAGTTTTCGAACTCGTGCAGGAGTCTATCGTCAGAGATAGTAGCGGCAACAGAACAAGCAACAGTTAAATGGTGTGTTAGCCAATCATCGACCGACGGCACAAGACTGGATGTGACTGCGCAGGGCTCTGTACGCCGGCGTCAGATCGATAAATCGATTGACCGAGTTCTCATCTGAGGCCCAGGTTTCAATCAAGCGTCGGCCTGTTCTGCTTCCGGCGTGGGCGACCTAGGGTATCGCCTAAGAAATCGCAGTTTCCGCGATGTATCTTTCTGTGAATGCTTTCGGTAGGCATTTGAAATACATGTATTTGCTTTAGGTAGCAACAAGGGAAAAGTGACTTCAATGTTCGAAATTGCATTGTTTATCATGCTACCTCTCTCTCTGTTTTTACTTCAGGTTGCCCACTGGCATCATCCACATTTTCACGCTTACCTCGTCACCGCTAATTCCTATCCGGCTATGTGTGCCGACATCCTTTCCGCGGCAATGGGTGGAATAGGATTTACATGGGTATGTCACACCTATCAGTCGTCTTTCCTAAGAAGACGGTTGCTACTGCCTAGAGCATACATACAGTTGGTGACCTAACTCATGGAAAGTGCCGAAACTTACGAATGGTTGCCAATCACTCTCAAACCGACAAAATTTCACGAGTCCAATGTCAACGTTAATTAATTACAAGTTTAAAAGAAGTAAAAGGCAGTGTTGCTTTGTTTAGAAATGCCGATTTATTTAGAGAAGTGCAATATCTCGAAATGGCTATAAATGATACGTATTTAGTTAACTTCGTTTCTAGGTGGATAGAATGTATTCTCACACCAAAACGTAGTAAATATGAAAACAGAAATAAAATAACGGCTAATAATTGTGTTTCGATGAAGTTTACATCTAAATATCGCTTAAGAATTAGAGTGATTCCATATATGGTTTGTCAACTGCCTGCAATCTAATTGTAGATTCCAATACAGTTTTCCAGGGATTCGTGTTATCCTTGACTAGTTTGAGTTAAATGAGATGCGGTTTAACAGGAGAAACGGGAGTTTACTTTATTTCACCGACGGGGACGTCGTATAAAAAAAGTTTTCACATGGCCGATCGGGACCTAAAAAATTTGAAGAAAACTGAGAGGCCTTATCGTAAACATACCATTTTGTGTTTACAGAGAGAATATTTCTTACGTTAAATTAATTTACCTTTTGGTTTATTTTGGATAACGTTGAGTTTCAGATCGGCCTCGAAATGTAGTTGAATACTTCATGATTTCTAGTGTTTTCACCCTATCCTCCTTCGGAATTACCTGTTTGTTGAGAACTTTAAAATAAGATTATTCTTGAAGGCATTTACCGAAGTAGTGCGTGTTCAGGCACTCCTTTTCACGAAGATGGTCATTTGTGTGACAAGTGAAGACTCATTCAAACACCAAACTTTATTTTCGAAAAAATGGCTGTCCACAACGGAAGTCAGCTTTGAATATACCTTCGATCAATAAGAAAACTATCCTTAATAAGTTGCCTTTTTAGGAAGTCCTTTATTACTGCACTCCGTTGACGGATCTCTGTGTACTTTGCATTTTTGCACTGTGAGGCCAATAAAAAATTTGACACTTGGCCGTTTCTTTCACGTTCCTAAACAATCTTTCTACCGTATACGTAAGAACATGCCTTTTTCTATACATTATGGCCATTTTCACTGTGTTTGGTCGCCTTTCGACTCCGTTCTTTGATTAGGAATGCACGACAGAGCGCCCATTTAAATACTGATGTTCTGCTAGTTATATTTCTGAATAAGGTATGCCCAGAAACTAAACTACACGGCACGTAGTGTTACATATGTTTAAAACTGGAAATTACCATTTAGTGGTGGTCATTTATGTGACATCAGGTAGAATTTTCCAAACAGCGATACAATTTCAGCCAATTTAAACGAAGAAATCCCCATCTGCGTTCTTACTACACTTCCGTATCAGTTTCCGTTATCCAATTTCATAAGATAGGTCTCGTACTGTACATATACTTAAAAAGAGATGTGATCCTTTGGGAGCTTAATAACCCCCTATTGCGTAAGTTTCGGAGACCGGTTCCCCAACCCGACGTCAGGCTTTTGAGTCATGTATAAGCGCAGTCAACTATTTGACCGTGTCTAACAAATGATTCTGCTCATGGCCGAAGCCAGCTCCAATGCGCGTCAGTTTTATTTCGTCATCCCGTCGGCATTAGTTGTGTTCCTTTTCATTTGTCCATGGGAAATTGGTACGTGGCATGTAAATCGATACGCTGATTGATGCTTACGTCATCTGAGTGCACCAAACTACAAGATTTCTAAGTGACCATATTTCAGCAAAGAACTCCGAGAACTCCATTAAGCACCACACGAGTTCCTGGGCGAATTAAAAGAAGAGAGATTTGCAACTGATGAGATAAGGGTTTCATTCGATGCAGTCTTGCTCTCCATTAGATGTAACCAGACGCTGCACCGAAGAACTCCATCAGGCCTACGCCACTGATGTGCCTGCAGACACCTTGCTCCAACTACCAGTTATTTGTCTAGAAACCGACTTTTTCTTCGTCAAACAGTGCTGTAGGCAACTGAGGGGCGCCCCTATGGATTCGTCTCTATCTGGCTTTCTGGCAGAAGCCAAGATGCAGCTTTTTCTACAGTTTAATCGAAACTGTGACTGCGCAATTTAGATCACACATCCCGTTAGCATTGGTCGCATTCCTGTTCGTTTTCCCCTAAGAATTTTTTACGTTACATCCAAATCAATAAACTTACTGATGCATGCCGCATCTGAGTATATTGCCTACAGGAGTTCACGACCTTTCCTTATCGGGCAGACGCCAACAGTACGAATGTTTTCCCACGCAAATTTGTGCCCATTGTCCAGTGTGCGTATGGTAACCTGAGGTAGATGACCATGCCTTCTTATCTCCAACCACTGTTCATAAATATGAATTGAGATAGGTTCCTCGGTCCGAACACAGTAGACGACGTCGCAAGTGGAGCATGAGATTCTGTAGACAAGGCCTTTCCTATCGAGGTAATCAACCCTGTCCTAAGTGTGTACAAGATGTTTGCGTAAGGTAATAGCCGTTTGGTGTTTAACTTTTGTTTGATGTCTTTTCGGTTGTCTTTCGGCAAGTTCAGATCCTAGGTTACTGTTCCTGGTGCGCCTGTGACCTTGAATTTCGAAATACTTTTTCCCTTAAAATGTTTAATGCTTCATGCACCGACGCACAAAACCGACAAAGTACCTGTTGTTGTAAAATAGTTTAAAAGGGAATTTAATCTCTGCTTGACATTTTCATCGGAGAAGCGTGCTTTAGCTCGAATAAGCGGACTGTAGACTGAACTGCCTTTGTAAGAGGCGGGACAGCTAATCTATCTGCGACAAATCTACGAATGAAGCGATCTATAATTTTATCGATGTGCGAGGAGGGGACGATTTAAACTTGAGGTAGATGAAAACAATCTTTTTGAATTTATTCTGCACTCAGTCAGTCATAATCCTGACCACCAGCCGGGACCAGGAACACAAACATACTCACACACACAGGAGGCCAATATATCGGCATGGGCCCATTTGTGCAAGCAGTGAGCGCTCCCTACCATAGTTAATATACCCGGATGCAACCGACAGGGCAACGAGTGCGCGTCTCGGTGTTTGGAGTCTTGTACTAATAACGAAAAGGGTGCAGGTTCAACCCCCCGGGGCCACCAAATCTAGAGTTTGGTAAGGATTGCTGGCGGTGGCTACTAAGTCCGAAACGGTCGTGCCAGCCCACTCTGTCTTTGTTGGCAATCTCATTTTGCACATACACAGATATATTTGGCAGAATAGTATTACCGACAAAGACAAGGGAGACTGGAATGGCCATTTCTGGCTTATTAGCCGTCGTCAGCCAGCCATACCCAAGCCCTACGTGCGGAACACCCGAGCCTCGAACTCGCGACCTGTTAGTTAGAAGTCCACGCCTCTACCCACGGGGCCACGAGCCCGTTGCCCTGTCGGTTTTCGATATATATATATATATATATTGAAGAAGATGGTAAGGCGAGCTCTGGGGATGATGATTTATTCATCTGACGTTTCACACTCATATATATATATTTATATTTGAGCAGCTCGCTAAGAGTGCAACAGGCCAGACGCAGACAGCTGTCTCACGGTCGTTACCGATCATCAGTACGTCATAGGCCTTATGAAGTGAGTTTAGAATTGAAGGCCATGGACGACTTTACGATACTTGGTATTTGAGAAGCTGTCCGTCTCTCTCTCTTTCTCTCTTACTGCCTCGTAGGCTTCATCTCCAGTGAGCACAGAACTTGAGGTGATAATGTTGGATTGGATGGCCAAGCTCCTTCACCTACCTGAGTTCTTCCTCTCGCATACAGAGGGAGGAGGCGTGATCCAGGTATGATTGTATTTCATTTCACGCTTTTGCGCGTGTTGATCTTACTATCTTAGAAGTGTACGCAGCAGAAACGGTAAACATTATTGTGTAAATTTTCGAGACTGCTTCCCCAGCTCGTCTTCAGACAGCGGGCGTGCAAAAACAATTAACTTCTAAACCGAGTCTGACAAAGGATTCTATGATTGGTTAAAGTCATCGTCTCGGGATTGGTTGGGTCAGTTTGGATCTGTCCTTAAAGATTTTGCATGCGACATCTAGATCGATATGCCGGTTGATGCATGCCTCATCTGAGTACATTGCCTCCAGGAGTTCGCGGCCCTTCCTTATTGGGCAGGCGCCAGCAATGCGAGTGTTTTCCTATGCAAATTAGTGCCCAGTGTCCAGTGTGTGCATGGCTACCTGGGATAGATGGTCGCGTCTCTTTACCGCTAACTGATGTTCATGTAAAAAAGTACCAGATATACGTAGCACATCAGCCGGCAGCTACCTTACGCGCACAACTTGTACACACTGAGGGCAGGGTTGTAGACAGGTGTTGTCTACAAAATCTCATGCTCTAATTGCAATGCCGTCTGTTGTGGCCTACCTGGGGAACCTGTCTCAACCCGTGTACATGAACATCAGATAGCGGTAAAGAGACGCGACCATCTATCCCAGGTAGCCATGCACACACTGGACACTGGGCACTAATTTGCATAGGAAAACACTCGCATTGCTGGCGCCTGCCCAATAAGGAAGGGCCGCGAACTCCTGGAGGCAATGTACTCAGATGAGGCATGCGTCAGCCGGCATATCAATGTAGATGTCGCATGCAAAGTCGTTAAGGACAGATTCAAACTGACCCAAACAATCCCGGGAAGATGACTTTGACCAATCATAGAATCGTTTGCCAGACTCGGCCTAGAAGTTAATTGTTTTTGCACGCCCGCTGTCTGAAGACGAGCTGGGGAACCAGTCTCGAAAATTTACACAATAAAGTTTACTGTTTCCCAAAGAATTCCATTTTCCTAATGATATCTCTTGGGATGCCTGTTTTTCAATTTACATATATACATGTATATACCCGTTTATGCCTGTAAAATCATCAGCAAGACGACACGTCGCCCTATCTGCACACAGACGTACTCCACAACATGCGTATGCAGGACACCACTCGCAACCCACTACGACTCACTGTTGTAGCAGACGTGCTTTACACTTTCCTGGGGGTAGCATTGCTTGCGAAGCGTCGCATCTAAGGGAGTGCGCATGCCGTATAAGTAGGAGCACGTTCCTTGGTTCACGAAGTGGACATGACGACTTTTACAGGCAGAGCGCCAGTCACACGTAGGTTCAGTTGTGATTGCTAACTCAAAGAAATCAGCTGGAAAGAGACACTAGTCCTGGCCGCGCATTATACGGAATGTCTGTATAAGGTCGCCTCTGGGCTGTCTGTAACTCAGAGGAAAAAGGCCGAGATTGGATAGTCGTGTTTCATAGGATGATGAACCCTGCCCACTAACTAGTTTGGTTGCCCGCCTTTGAACTTTCTCAAGGATATTGAGATCTTTAGAAGTCTAGGGTTTCCACGCCTGAATAGCGAACTCTAGCTGTGGCCGTACAAATGTCCGAAAGACTTTCACGAAGCGGTCCTCATCGAAGGTAGAGAAAGCTCTCTTGACAAGATAAAGAACTGACATCGCGGACTTGGCTACCATGGAGCAGTGGAGCGACAGTTTTAGAGAAGCCGTTACCCACACACCCAAGTCTTTCTGGGCGTCTACCTCCTGTAGTGGTATGCCAATTGGGGGTTAAACCCTCCGGCTCAGAGATCGGGTCCTGCCGACTCGCAAGACATTGCACTTAGTAACATTAAACGGCAAAAGCCAGTCCTGTGATCATTCCTTGAGTCGGGTCAGGTCTGCCTGCAAGTGCTCTTCGTCAAATTCAGTTCGGATGACGCTCCAAAGTTTAACATCATCAGCGAACATGGCCACATGACAATTCAATTCACTAACGCAGTCGTTGGCATACATAATGAATAAGGTAGGGCCAAGAAAGGAGCCTTGCGGAACACCGCTTTCAACCGCTACCTCCGCCGACTGCCTGTCACCGACGTGGATGAACAAGTCGAGAGCGACCAGTCAAATAGCTTTGTATCCACCTCAGGAGATTACCCCTCAGGCCTGTCCGGCTTAATTTGTACAGGAGACGCTGACGTGGTACACCGTCGAATGCCTTCTTAAAGTCGACGTAGACTGCGTGCACTGCATTGTCGCCATCGACTGCCCGGGTCCAGCGATCTAAACAATAAAGTAGATTTGTCACGCATGATCTGCCTCTACGAAATCCGTGCTGGGCATCGCATAGCAGATTATGCTCTTCTAGGAAGTGCATTATTTCTTGCTTAATTATTTTTTCCATAATTTTGCAGCAAATCGAAGTAAGGCTGATTGGTCTGTAGTTGTTTGCTAAGACCTTGGCTGAAGCATGAAAAAGGGGAGACAGAGTGAGATCAACGGTGGGGGCTTCGTCCTCGCGGCAGATTACCGCACTCCTCACAATAATAAATACGGCGAGTTTGAATCAATAATGACGTATTATCAGTTGTGCCTCGGAAGGCTTCCAACTGACGGGACAACTCGGTCTCCCTTACTTTGGACTCTCTGGCACTCCCACTGACGGGAGATGCAAGCCGCCGAGCGGCTAACGTGTCGTGCGCATGGCGCGCGTAGACGGACTGTTTGGTCTTGCCGGCCACTGCGTCCGAGCCCGCCCTTATCCGTCTTGGCGTTTTTTCGTTACCGGGGCGAGGGAGGACAGAATGTGGTAGATGCTGGACACTTCTGCCTTTCTGTAAACGAATTCACAAACAGATCACCGCCGCTGGGCCCATCTTGGGAGGCAGGTGTAAATGTCGTCAACTGCCGCGGTCGACCCGCCATATATCCTCTGAACGGTAAACCAAACAGAGCAAGGTATTAATGAAGACACTTTCTAGATTCTGATATGCCCTCTATTTAAACGACCCGTTGCTTCTTCTCCTTTTTCAACAAATATGCATGTTTGTATAAGTGCGGACGACTTTCCATTTTTTCAGGGAACCGCAAGCGAGTCCACATTCATGACCTTACTGGCAGCTCGCAATGACGCAATTAGGAAGTATCAGCAACTTCATCCGGACAGCACAAAGTACGAAATCATGGCTAAATTAGTCGGCTACTATTCAGAGCAGGTATGGCTTGCACATTCAACAAGCACATTTGGCATTCAATTAGGTTTTTTAATTGTTAGTATCAAGCATTTAAAGCAGGCATAGACAGCAGAATTTATTGGAACCAGTAAATTTCGCAACGGCTTATCAACTACAGCCTGTCGTTGCATAACACATATAACACATGATAAAGATACAGAGGTTTGAACTTCGACAGAGAAAATCGATGTAAAACAGCAAGGTCATCGTATACTGCACGTAGAATAATCAATAAAATGGAAACTTCAAAACGCAACATAGGAAAGAAAATGGGGGAGCAAACACACCGAAGGATTTCGGAAATCAAAAGGCTCAGATCTACCAGGGCAAGCTAAGGCTGACCACGTGGTCTAACTGTTTACATAGGTTCGGTTTCTCCCGCCGTATGTAGGCTGCCTCCAGGTCGTGCAGTAACCGAGTTGTTCGTGCTCGAAATAATACTCGAAAAGATGTTTTGGGGTCAACCGAATGACCGCTATCGAGGAGGTGTTCTGTAATAGAAGACCGTGAAATCTTATTCTCCTGCTTTAGAAGCCATTCAGACAGGTGCTTTACTGACCTGGCTGCCAGTTGCCTTTGCGTTCGCCCAATGTACTTGCATCCAGGAGTGCATGTAAATTCGTAAACACAATTTGCAATGGTAAGGCATCCTTCGTCCGTGGAACTTGGATAGCCTTAGTAGGACTGCAGAATATGGGTTCAACTGCATTGTATGTTCTTTCAATAGCGCATCTCAATCGCCGCTTGATGGTATTTGAGATGCTGTCGCCTTTAAAAGGTAAGGATATTACAACGGGCTATTTTGGAACTGATTGCTCCGTCAATTTTGGCCGTAAAGTTTTACTGTACTTTTCAGTGAATCGTGTTGGATATCCTCGTTTAAGCGGGACTGTTTTTAGGCAAGAAATTTCATCCCACAGCGTTTCAATAGAGCAAATGTTTCTTGCTCTTTGGAATAGAGTGCAAACCAAATTTCGCTTTCGTTGTATCGGCTCGAAGCTCAATAAGGGCAGATATTTGCCTTTCCGGGGAAATATTGCATCAGGTTTATCAAGCATTTATTTCAGATACGGGCACAAAAGGATTGGCTGCACAGGATTTTAATCAAGAATACCCGCGGGTTAAGGCAATTTTAACTCCAAGTTGCTTTATGAGTTGTTTTTCAGCATCTTTCGGTAGGCGTTATAGATGGGTTTGCGTTCGCCCGTAAGCGTTTAGCAGCAGGTACTGGGAGAGGAAAATGAGAGTTCTTTCAGGGACCAGGCAAGGCTTGGAAACGCGGTCCCGCCGGAAAATGCAGAAACCCAGGCGTCTCAAGTACGGGAGTCTTCGTAGCAGGGTTTTTACGAGTAGGGCTGCGGGAAAACAGTGAAGGATGTGCGAAAACGGAGGAAAAACACGTGTCACAGGTAGGTATGCTAGTTTGTTTTAATGGGTACTAAAATCTAGGCCTAAGCAGCGCGCGATACAAAACTCCGCTGTAGGCAATAATTAAAAACCAACATCACCGGGAATATTGGTGATAGGGCTGTCGAGGTCGTGGAAACAGCCGCCCAAGAGTGTGACCAGTCAGACCTAACCTGTGATGAAAGTTGCAGAAAGTGGGTGCCATTTGACCTAAACCCTAACTCTGGCGTAATTGTGAATTATAGTCGCAGCAGTCCTAAAAGTGCCTCAAATTGAAAGTGTCAGTGAGTAATACTACGCGTACTGAAATCAATAAAAGTACGAAAAATTTGTTGACCAAGCAGGACCACGTTGTCAAGCCTCACTGGGATACTAATGTAAAAGTACTTTGCCAGATGTCTGCATTAAGATACCCGAAATAATTACACTTAAAACAGTCTCTTGATTATAACCTCACTCTTAAGCGTCCCCCAAAAACTGACTACAGGTTTCACTAAAGGGACCCATTGAGGTCAGGCTCCGAACTGGGATCATCGTCGATAAATCCGTAGTAAAAACCGGAAGACAGTTGATTGATTGCATTAACTTTGTTTTCGTTTAGATCAGGACAAGTTGCTACTTCATTCTTGATGATTTTTATTGTTAAAGAAACTATTTTAGAAGATGCATTAGCTGTTTTTGGGCCCAGTCAGTAATTTTCTTGTTTGATTAAAGGCGCATGCGTCGGTGGAGCGAGCGGGACTTCTTAGCCTCCTGGAACTCCGTCCGCTACCATGCAATGAAAAGTATGAATTGGAAGGGGATACGCTACGAAGAGCTGTAGAAGAGGACGTCGCCAATGGTCGGATACCCTTCTATGTACGTGCCATTATCTAAGAGGCGTGATGTTTTCGGCTACAGCCTTTGATTATACCTCTGTCTGCCACTCGACACGAATTAATGCTCAGATGTGGCTATGTAGCCCCACCTGAAGTAAAAAACCTCAGCTAACTGTAATACGGAAAGTTGGTAAGAGGGGTTCTTACAGGTGCGGCCGGGGGAACGCACAGGCGACGAGGTCAAGTAGTTGCATGCAAAAGAAAGGCTCTCGGGGAGTCGCGGTTGTGTCCATCAGGTGGGGCTACATAATCACATCTTACCGAATAATTCTTGAAGAAGATGTTAACTTGACAACTGCAGTCGGCACCCCAAGCATCCGGCGAAAGTAGAATTCATCGGTCCATCCTGCACTGTCACTGGTCGTCGAAGCCTGACATGGAGCTCCTAAAGAAAGATTTTTGTCAGCTGCCGATAGCTTACTTGCCAGAGGGAATTATTCGTCGAAACTAGGCTACCATATTTACATTAAAAAGTCGATTTGGCAAGCATGCGTTTGCTTTCAATAAATTCCCTTTAGACCTTTACACTTATTGGAATGATAAATAAGAAAGTGCGGGCAAGTAGAAACTCCCCTGTAGCTGAGGTTTAGGGAGAGGGTGGGTGGGATGAAAACAAAATTACCGTCAATGTCAGGGGGAGGGGAATACAGGGCATTGAGACGGGTAATTATATGCGGGTGGTTTGGACCATGGTAAGCATGTGTAACCTGATTGCAGCCGCCTCTGCTGCTGCCAACAGACGCTGTCTAAGCTGTTTTTGATAGCCTGACGGAACCTTTGGCTAGATCGCAGTTGGAAGCCAGGATTGGGCAAGCGGACGGTGACCTTAACCCTAATCCTTACCTTAACCCTAATCCTAACTCTAATCTCAACCCTAAACGTTACACGTTAACCCTAACGGCAACCATATCCCTAACCGAAATCGTAAACGTAACCGTAGCCCATAGACATAGCCGCAACTGAAAAACCTAACCATAATACTGAATCCTAACCGTACACTCAAACCATAACCGTAACCCTAAAACATAAGTGTAAAGGCATAACTCTTACCCGAAAATCGGAAACCATTAACCGGTACCCTAATCCTAACCTTTGACGTAACACGGAAGCCAAATGGGTCAGATGTGATTATGGAGCTCCACAAAATAGCCCCACCGAACAAACCCCTCGCCACCTCTAATACGGGTCCTGGCTACCAACTGCGATCTGGCCGAATCTTTTAAATACCGCGAAAGGCACAAAAGGCATACAAATGATACAAAGCAAGTTTGAATGTAAAAGGATAGTCAAGAATATAGCAAATGAATATATGCATACTCTGAAATCTGCGAGCTTTACGTTCGAAGACCTCTCCCCTCGGGCAAATTTAAGAATGCGCTATTTTTGGACGCGCAACTGACAAAGACCTGTAAATATCCGTCTGCATACTTTAAACACTAAACCTGTCTTATAGTTGGCAGAATTACCATTGAAGAATTCAAAAAATCAATTTGGCGAGCACAGATTTGTTTCCGATATAGTCTCATCAAAACTGTACATTTTTATTGCTGTTAAAATGATTAATACGAAACTGCGAGCAAATAGAAGGGATTCTGTAACTGAAGTTCAGGGGGAGAGGGGTTGGGTGAATGGAAAAACAAAATTACCGTCAGTGTCAGGTGGGGGAGGGGAATGGTGGGCACTGGGACGGGTGATTAAATGCGGGTGGCTGGCTTGGTGGCTTTGGACCATAGTAATTGTGGCGCCTGTACGAAGTTCCTCAGCATGCGTAGGACTGGTTTGCGCAACCTGATTGCAGCCGCCTCTGCTGTGACCAACAGGCGCTGTCCAAGTGAGAGCTCGGGGGAATCTTCTAAATCACCTAGAAGGCCTGTCCGGCATCTGCACAGTGATCTGTGTCTATCATATGCGCGAGGATAGAACTCTTACCGTTTTTTAGTTGACCCTCCTCTAACCATGCTGGAAGGTGTTCTCTTCTTCTTCTTCTTCTTCTGGGCAAACGCCGACTCGTCCGACCAATGTATGCTTCCCACAGAAGCAGGTGAAGGAGTAAATGCACACAGAATTGGTCCGGGCTGACAGTCTGACCTTGCCCTCTCCGTATAGGATGGGATTAGTAAGAAGGAGTGCATGGGCGTCAGCTGCCGAAAAGGTGCTTGATACGGCTTGAGTTAGGCGCCTTCTTATATTCTTCACTCGGCTTGTCTCCCTAAAACGGGACCCCGATGAAAAGATTTTTCTTTTCTGCTGTCAGTGTCGGGAGCTTTGATGGTGTTTTGGTCATGTACCTGGCAATGAATTGAAGAGACTTTCGACAATCTTAAGTTTTTCCTTTATGCTATCAGCCGAACAGATCGTCCTCGTTCTTTGGGTCAAACAGCGGACTAAGTTTTTTGTTTAACAGTACGTAACTCCTAAAATCGGCGTATTGCCTGGACCACGCCTTCTTACGATAGACATTATATTGAATACTATCGTCAGATCTTCTACTGAAACGCGCATCCTGAAAGGGAAGCCATCCGGATTGTTCTTCTTCCGGAGTAAATTTGATTGATTGATGCGCTTGACTTAGATCATCCAGTAAAAGTGAAACGTCGTTTTGTTCAGGCATAGTCGCGATGTTTACATTACGTTAAACGCCGGCTTCGTGTTGACTTTTACTTCGACTCCACATTTTCTGACATTCAGCTAATCTCTTGCATCACTGGCTCTTTTCGGTGCTAAAACAAACCTAAGCGATTCTGTCTTGATGGATTAAAAATTAAGACAAGTTATGTAAACCGGGAATGTCAGACAGGTCCTGTATGGTTGACGCCTGATGCGACTGCGCATCCAGTAATCCGCGCAACAGGTGTGAAATCACGAAAATTGTTTGTCAAAAGCTTAAGCGTTTTGGCTGTGAAGATGGCGGTTGCTGAACTACCTATCTTCGTTTGATTTTTTGGAACGAAATGCAAAACTACCGCTCCAAAAGATCAGATTTACTCACAAAGACGAAAGTGGCTAATGTGGCGATAAAAAGCCTTTAGTGTGGTACCAGAAACAGTAGTGACAACAGTACTAGCAGTAACAGAAAATCTCAGTAGTATTTGTTGTTACCGTTGGGTCGCCAGTAGTTGCTGTAGAAATATAAGTAATCTTACTAATAGAGGGAGTACTGGTAGCAGAGGCCTACGCCAAAGGGTGCCAGGTACAGTGACTAGACGCCGACCTCGTCATGCAGGTGGCATGGGAACGATGGGTGCTAGTAGCCCCTGGGGCGCTTAGAAACCCTGTAAACTTCTCATATTTTCAATAAGTGTACAACTGTTTTGAGTAGATGATGAGCTACCGAAAACACGTTATTGCGAAACTGAATTTTTAATTGTAACTTGGGAATATTTGCGGAACTGAAAATGAAAAGGCGAGTCATTCCTCACTAACAAATGCACATACGTAACCCCCCAACTGTCTCGTACACAATGCGACAGATCTGAAAAATAGCCCGGAACGTCTCGCCGGCAGGCAACGAGCTCATCAGTTTCGGAGCCAAATTTTCGCCTTCGATTGCAGTTCGATGCGAATTTCACAGAAAAGTTGAAAAGCCTTAACCATCGCCCGCTGTTCTTCGAAATAATTTAATTTAAACAAGTAGTGCCGACGTTGATGACCAGTTCTGGCTTATTATCCGTTGTCAGTCTGCCAGGTTGGAATTCAAGCCCAGATGATCTAACGCTGGATTTGTGGCATGGGTGGCTAATGACGGTCAATAAGACAGAAACAAGTGCTTCCGCCTCCCTTGTAATATCTGAATCCTTGTCGTTATGCGGCTGCCTGCGGTATTTCCGGATTGAATTACGAGGCGCAACGGAACGAGCATTTCCCCCAACCTGATCAGTGAAAGACCCTACTGCAACAATTAATTTCATCTTCAAAATGTTTTCCTTTCATTGATTGGAGGTAATTTGGTCTTCCGCTGGACTCTCTTCGCGCTACACTACGCACCTCAGCCAACTTGCGTTTAGTTGGAGCATTGATCCTAATTTTCTATCAGCATCTACTTCCTCTGAGCGTCTTCAGACTTCCTGTCGACTGACAGCCTGTTCTTGCTTCGTCCATTTTCAGTGCGTCGCGACTTTGGGTACCACGGCGACTTGCAGTTATGACCGCTTGGCCGAACTTGGTCCTGTATGCAGGGAGTACGACATGTGGCTGCACGTGGACGCCGCTTACGCAGGATCTGCGCTAATTTGTCCGGAATTTCGTCCATTGATGCCTGGTTTGGAGGTAAGTTGTTATTGAGCCTGCGACAGAGAGCTCAGTCCGCCGGCTGATCTGTGGGATCACGGCTGATCGGCCATGCACCATCCAGCCGGTTGCGACATCAGTAGCCCAGAAACACCATTTATATAAAATTCACAAGACCCTAGATAGCATAAAATTCGAGTCGAGGCCTGACTTTTGAATCTACACAGGTTTGGTTTATGATTAGTTTTAGGTAGGCCTTGAGATACTGGCTTGTACCTGCGCGGGAAATGCGTGTGCTGTGATTGGTTAGTCCGGTTGGATGCGGGCTCGAATTAGCGGTAATTTCTGGGCACACCTCTGGTCGACAATTTCGCCATTTTGATGCTTATTTTATTGCAAAGTTTTGTACGGAATTTCAAGCGTAGAGTTAAGCAAAAAATTGTAGAGCATAGACGTCCATTTGACCAAATTGCACTTTTGTTTAATCTCGTGGAAAGAGAATATCAGTTCCGTTTTTGGAGCCCAGAAGGAGTGTTGCGAAATTCTGCAAAGTGGCATAGAGAGGCCGGATCTTTTTGTTTGTTTCGACCCATATGACCGTTGCCTTGTCAGTCAATTTCACATGCGTATGCGCCCCATTTTACATTCTAGTATTCCTCCTCGTTCTCCTTCAATCCGCACAAGTGGCTTCTCATGAATTTCGACCTTTCAGTTCTCTGGTGAGTTTAGATTTATAAGGTTTCCTTTGCTTAAGAACTAATTTTGAAAACTGCTTGATCAGGCACAGCAGTTTATCGAACAGTTCTCTACAAATTCACACTAGATGTATCGAAATGAAATGAAAATTCACCTACCGGATATCGAATGAACATTATAGTAGTGAGAGGCAATACCGAGTGTGGCATTCGGATGTTTGCAAATATGTGTGACGCTCGAATGATTGGAAATTCGTGTTGCCCGATAAGTAACGGTGTTGTCCGTATTTTGTTGGATCATGTCCAAAGAACCAGCAGACATTGTTGCAAACTTTCATCGTAACTCGAATACCAATTCTGCTGTACATGCTTGTTTTCAGTTCATACCGGGGAAAAAATGCTTCAAAGAAGCAGAAATTGTCGTCAGAATTGCCATCTACACGGAGAGTACTTTATCTGAGTCATAGTTTTTCCGCTGGAAATCGATCA